ACAATTTTTTTCAAGGAGAGCTGTGAAGAGTGCTCCCTGAGACTGTCTGCCATACGCTCACCCATTCTTGTCAAAAACGTTATGTATGAGAATGTGAAGATGGCCTGAAAAGGATTCAACTATGAATTAATAACTTTTTAATGTCAACAGCTGTCTCCTGCTAAGGCAGGGAGACCAAAAGAAGAAAACATATTCACCACCATTCAGTCACTTGCTCTCTCTCTCCAGGAATGTGCTGATATCACAATTCAGAATTGGTAATGCAGACCAAATAAAGATGCATTTAAATTAAAGTTATTTTAGCATGCTAATTTTATGGGTGTAAAAAAGGAAAGAAATGACAGTGAGGCTATATGACTGAGGTATGACTAAAGCCCAGTGGATCATAGTAATTAATGTATGAATACCGATCTTCTATTGACATGAAAAGAGAGAAACTGTACAGCATAATTAATTTTTCTTGTAAAAAGGAAAAATATATTTGGAATAAATGTATAAAATATATAAGAAAACTTTTATTTTATTTTTATTATCACACTGCCGACCTAGAAAATGTACAGAGAACTTTCACGGCGCGCATAACGGAGATAAAACACCTCAATTACTGGGAGTGCTTGAGGTTTCTAAACCTGTATTCCCTGGAACGCAGGAGGGAGAGATACATGATTATATACACCTGGAAAATCCTAGAGGGACTAGTACCGAACTTGCACACGAAAATCACTCACTACGAAAGCAAAAGACTTGGCAGACGATGCACCATCCCCCCAATGAAAAGCAGGGGTGTCACTAGCACGTTAAGAGACCATACAATAAGTGTCAGGGGCCCGAGACTGTTCAACTGCCTCCCAGCACACATAAGGGGGATTACCAACAGACCCCTGGCAGTCTTCAAGCTGGCACTGGACAAGCACCTAAAGTCAGTTCCTGATCAGCCGGGCTGTGGCTCGTACGTTGGTTTGCATGCAGCCAGCAGCAACAGCCTGGTTGATCAGGCGCTGATCCACCAGGAGGCCTGGTCACAGACTGGGCCGCGGGGGCGTTGACCCCCGAAACTCTCTCCAGGTAAACTCCAGGTAAACACTGGCCGATTCCCACCAAGGTAGGGTGGCCCGAAAAAGAAAAACTTTCACCATCATTCACTCCATCACTGTCTTGCCAGAAGAGTGCTTTACACTACAGTTTTTAAACTGCAACATTAACACCCCTCCTTCAGAGTGCAGGCACTGTACTTCCCATCTCCAGGACTCAAGTCTGGCCTGCCGGTTTCCCTGAACCCCTTCATAAATGTTACTTTGCTCACACTCCAACAGCACGTCAAGTATTAACCCTTTGACTGTTTCAGGCCCCTCTCTGAAACTGTCATTCTATGTCGCCAAATATTCGAAAAAAAAAAATTATTTTTTCTTATGAAAATGTTAGGAATATTTTTGTGAGTGTTTTAAGCCTAAAAAAATTTTTTTGCCATCAGTACTTACCGAGATATAGAGCTGCAAAGTTTGCAGAAAGTGACGTGCGTACGGCAACAGCGGCAACTGCCGCCCACCCGGTATTCTTTTATTTACTCTAATTCAAAGGTTTCTTGCATTTTTCAATATTTTTCTGTTCCAGGTAACTTATGTGGCCTGTGAGACCAATGTAAGGTGCATTCTTCAAATATACACTCATTGTTTACAACACAATAACAGAACAAACTTTATCACTATTAGTTTGTGTATACACTTTGTTTACACAAACAAACAATACAAAACAATGTTTATTACTATTGTTCCATAATATATATACATATGTACAGTCACTAAACACGTTCCTAGAACTGCTGCAGCTTGTGGAACTCTTTGAAACATGGGTATATGCAGAGGGGCACTTGACACTCTCACACATAAAAACGAGTGTCTCTGGGTGTTTGTGGGCGTTTTGTGGTATGCATACATACATAACACCTCTTCTGAGCATTTTTCTTGGCAGTAGTAGGGGGCAGTTGTATGGGGTAGTGATCACCAGGCCTGAAACGAGATGACGTGTGTGGGCGCTGGTCTATTGCAGGAGTTGCTCCTTGGTACTTTGCAATTATTTGTCTGATTACTGACAGGCAAAGTTCACCATATTTTGGTGTTTTGTTGGTCTTCAACTTGTATATGTTAAAAGCATTTAGCATAGAGATATCAACAAGATGGAAAAAAGTTTTATATACCACTTATAACTCTTGCGTACACAGTCTGCAAACCCAATCTGCATGTCACATTTGTCCACTAAGCACATATTGAGGTTGTAGTCCATGACAGCTGCAGGCTTTAGAAAGGGTTCATTGGTCTCTCTGTTGTCCCTGCCACTGGGTACCATTTCGTTTCTGTGAACTGATGTCAACAATGTGACATCACGTTTGTCATGCCACCGAAATGCCATGATGTCATTGGCAGCAAAGGCTTGCACCTCACCT